TCGTACATCAGACATCGGAAATACCTCTTCAGTGGGTTGACTCCATCAACAGCAAGTTGTCTAGCGGCTCTCCAACCATGGTACAAAGCATAGCACCATCATATTCGAACTCATCCACCAATCTCTGGCTCGTAGGTTTAGGAGTCTCTCCAGACATGGATTTTGCTTTGGAAGAGAAGAGAAGAGAAGAAGAAACTGAGGGAGGAGGATAGCCGATTTGGGTTTGTGTGTGATTTGTCTTAAATAGACAAATGGTCATAGGGAAGTACTCTAACAACATGTCATTAGAGAATAGAAACAAAAACCCTCACATGTGTACAGTAACAAAAAAGGTCACATGTGAATAGTGAAATAAGTAATAATCGGTATTATTGAACCTGGTTTTGAAAATACTGATATCCAGGAAGCCCAAACTAAAATCGATACATATTAGACTAAATATCCAATTTGCCCAGACAAGTATCTTTTACAAGTGGATTAATATCCACATCATCACATCAAGTTTCTTTCGACGACGTTCCTTTCATTCTTAGACTAATAACGTTCTTTACCTTGGCTCCTTGGATTACTCTTCTCCTTCAAAGTCAACCCAGTTATCGGTACAGTCCATCCTACAATGTTAGAGAATTTAGTAAATGCAATGATATTAAACTCTAACAATTTACAAATGATATTAGTGAATACATTTACTGTCCTTGCTAGTTATAGTCTTTGACAATGCCTTGTTTGCTCATTGCACAGTTTCTTGAGTACTTCCATCCGCTTATTGTAGTCTTTCTCATCGGCCATCGATAGGTTTGTTGCTAGCTGATTCAACATTGCAGTGGTTTCTTGGTACCGCATTGCTATACCTTTTCCCGCATCATTCTCACTAGCAGCCGAAGGACCAAAAGAACCATCGACATCAACAACGTCTTTCTTTCCCGCCTCCAACGTCTATCACTTGAGTATGTAATGATCTGGAATACTTCTCATACTGGCTTCCCCAAAATCTCCAAGAAGTCGCATCACCTTAATCATGAAGTGGCATAACACTCTGAAAGTTCTGAACATCCTACATTCGCATACCAATGTCCTCGTAGAAATATCGATGAGAACGACACGCTCATCACTACACTCACCATCCTTTATCATATATTTGTGGTAGCCAATCATCCCTAGTATCTGAGAGTGTCTCCATTAGATAGGATTCAGTTTTCAAATACTGCTCATGTATCCGATTGAAGATGTTAGGAGTAAAGATATTTGCAGCATGTTGTAGGATCGGGCTATGCTCCAACATTATATATGGAACCAATTGCTTCCCATTGTAGTCTGATTTAGTCTCATTGCGTCTTTTTCAGCCAACAAACTACATTTAGAAAGCACGAGAAAAGAGTTTAGTGCACATACTAATATCCACTTAGACCAGTACTAATATCCCACCAACACAAAGTAATATTTAACAAAAGCATATTAATATACAGATGACACACAAAATATCCAAACCTAACAAGCTAATATCAAAGAAAGGCAAAGAAATATATTGTGTACGTACCTGCTAAAGTGAATGAAAAAGAAGTCCAAATCATGCCTCGGTTTCAAGAAAGTCGCACTTGTGCATTGCACGACTCGATGGCTTGCGTAGTCAACATCTCGGCTGTGAATTGATCTCTCAGCCATAAGGAACACCATCGATGATGAAATTTCTTCAAATATTCCAACCATGGGTGACCGTCCTCAATTTCGCTATTAGGGAAATAATCAGCAACCATTGTACTCCATGCCATGTCGAACTCTCCCTCACTGTTGATGTGGTAGAAAATAAAGGAAAGATGAGTTTGGAACTTCTTCCAAAATGCCTTGTCCTTACGAAGATTCTTCTTGGCATTCATGAGAATGTGCCAAGTACAGAGGGCATGAAACACAGTAGGCCACTCCTTTCTAAGCGCAGCAGCCATGGCGGCATCCTGATTAGTAAAAATAGTGGCTAGGAGCTTTTGCTTCATGCATCGACTAAATGCAACAAACAACCATTCAAAAGACGGTGTAGTCTCATCATACATCAAACAAGCGCCAAACACACAAGTTTGACGGTGGTTATTGAAACCTAAAAGCATCCCTGCACAAGACAACTATTAATGACAATGCATAACCGAACGAGTGTCGAAAAAATTCAAGTGAATTAGGTGATTACTCTCCTACTATTATTGTTTCATGGGCCTTTGGCCCATGGGCTCTCGGCGGGCAGCCCTAACTAAGGTTGCAAGTCTTATGTGTTAGGACTTGATAGTGTGCCAACACATGTCAACAAATATCTGTAAAGCCCAGACTAGTATCCCATAATGGCGGACTAATATCCGTACTGTTACAAAAGCATATCCTGTCATCACATGTCAATATCGGATCACAACAGACCACTCTCGAACCACCCTACATTCTATTCATAACCATTTCTGTAATATACGTACAAACATCCATGCACAAGACAACTATTAATGACAATGCATAACCGAACGAGTGTCGAAAAAACTCAAGGGAATTAGGTGATTCATGTACCCAGTGGACAGAAGTATGTATTCGTTCGGAAGGTGGTATCAAAGGAGACCGAATCTCCAAAAAACGCATAATCTTCACGCATCCTACTGTCCACCCAAAAAATATTAGCAACTTTCTCCTCGCAATGTTCCTCTAAAGCATAAAAGAACCCAGAATGCTTGTCCTTTTGGTCCTCAAAGACGTAGTCAAGCAAATAAGTCGCTTCGCCACGAGTCATTTTCCTTTGCCTTTTACTGTTCAAGTGGTTCTTCTAATTGGATTTGGTAAAAGTCATATTTTGATAGACACCAGCACAGTCAGCCAATAACTGATAGGATGCACTAAGACTCAACCCGATATCGCGATTAGCTTCGGCCATCTTTCTCCGAGCATCACTCATGCACTTGTTGGACTTGTGCAAGTGCAGATTCTAGGTAGTGTGCAAATCATGACTGTGGGCTTCTACGAATTCATACACCACAAATCCGCCCCTAGTAGCATCCCATCGAAAATGAACACGGGCGGTACATCCATCCCTAACTCGAGACCTCTTTCTTGTAGGGCGCCTTCTCTCCACAACCTTGTCTTCCGACTGTCTCTGTTCGTCCACATTGACATTTACTTCGCTAGTGGAAGTCCAACCTTCCTTATTACAAAAGTAATAAAGGTACAAATAATTTTTCGCCACCACTCCTTTAGAATTCTTCCTCTTTTTTAGGTGTTCTCCATCTATTCGAACACCAAACCCTTTTTTGTGAGCATAGTGTTTATAGAAATCCAAAAACTCATCCTTAGTGCGATTAAAGATGTTCTTCCTCACTTCCTCGTCTTCTATGTCCAACGTGTTATGAGTTAATGGTATTAGACATGTTATTATCCATATTGTCCAATAAACAAATGAAATCAATATGCCTAGACTACTAACTATCCAACATATATCGAAATCTTACCCACAAACTGTTAGAATACATAGGCTTCAATAAATATCCAACCTGTCAATAAACAGTATCCATAAGTACCAGACTAGTATCAAACAATGCATTAAACGGTAGGTTACACACCACGTCTAACATGTCCAGACTAATATCAAACATTTCAGCAAATCGTATCCAAAACCCCCGTATCAGTACCCCATAACAACATCAACATCATTAAATGTCATTCAATGCAACCAACCAATCTCACAACAACACAAACATATATATTACTCAATCAACCTTTATTTTCTTCTTCTTCTTCTTCTTCGCGGGCAGGAGCACCACTTGAATCTTCATCAACAAACTCATATGATGTAGGATAGGGTTCTTCTTCACTATTTTGGACGATCGACTTATCCTTTTTCATTGGAGAACCTCGTTGATCATTGAACTCACCATTTTCGTCGATCAGCATCCTAGACTGTGGACAAGGCTCGCCGGAAAGGAAAAGTGGTTGTCGGAAATTACTGTTGGGTGGCAGCGGCGGCAACTCTTCCTTTTGAAGAGAAGAAAAACAAAGAAAAAACGAAGAGAGAGAGAGAGCTTTTTCGGTTTAGAGGTGGTTGGGGCATTTAATTCTCTCTCCCTTTCCACTTTTTCTTTCCACAATTTTCTTTTTCTTTCCCCCATTTTAATCACAAAACAGGCCCCCTTTTCCCACTTTCTCCCGCCCAAAACATTGGCTGCTAACAGCTGGTGGATCAGCTCCATTCTTTTAGTCGACTGAGCTAAAAAGCCACCAACAGCCACTTAAATGAGCCCATCACTCTCAACCCTTGGATCGCAGCTGTAGAGACGTGGACACAATCCGGCTCGTGTAAGTATATACTAACAAAACCCTCTGTTAGCAGTATAACTTTTTCGGCGGGAGCTGGGCGACGAACTATGTGCGTAGGAGCAAAAGCTAGAGCAATGGGCATTCATTGAAGTTGGAGAGAAAGGGTTTATGAGTTGGAGTTTGGAAATTGGATTACGGCCACTTATGGCGGGTGAATCAAAACGCTCCGACGGGCAGTGTTACCATTTACACGGGCCGATCAAAATGGGCTTTAGCTGATCCGTGGCCCACTCTGTCTTCCAATTATCTTTCAGCACCGGTATAAAAGTATAGTAAGCCAGTGTAGCCGATTAAAGTATTTGTAGAAGTGCCAATCGCTTTGTGGTATGGAATAATATTTCAGCATTCATTGGAAATTTCATCGAAATTAATTACTCGAACCGAGGATCAAGCATAGTTCTTTCGTTATTAAAGTAGAAAGATCCATTAGCACGAATCTTATGTCGTTGATGTAGAAGGATTTATTGTGCTTACCACAATATGAGCAATTCTTATTACCAAGAATTAAAATACCGTACCGTACCGGCGATTCGACTTGAAAAACGTCTTACCGAACGCAAAACCGGTAGACGGTATTTAGCGGTATAATATTGTTGAACCATGATTAAACTATAATTTTAGCATAAAATACCATAGCGCTAACTTTTCCAATACGACCTCCGGTACGGTATTTCAATCCTTGCTTATTACTCACAACCTATGCGAAACACCAAGCCCTACAATTCGAATCTAAAATTCGACATTTCGTCTCAGATAGGAGATCTACAACCAACAGAAATGAGAGTCAAATTGTGTGCGCAATTACCAAGGGAAATCTTTCAGCAGTTGACTATGTATAATCCAAATATGGCTGCACTTACAACAACCAAACCACCATCGATCCTCCACGGTTTTTACATCCTATTGGGGAGCAAAACCGAGTAACACCAAAAACTGCAGAACTCAAAATGACGAACTTCCAGCTATGAAGATTCAACACTGAAAGCTTGTATGCCTGTGAATCCAAGCAAAAGAAAAGCACCCTAACAAACTCTGTAGTCTGTACCACAACATATTCTATGCACTTTTCCCTCTTTAACCCCTCTATCTATGTACTACTCCTTTATCCACAGAAATGGGGAGAAATGAAACAGAAGGTTGAACAACAATTTAAACATTTGTTTTGTAATTTCCCCTTGTAAATGAATCAGATTGTTGAGACTGCGGGGCCTGAGACTGAGGAACCAGATGAAGAGGCACTGGCTTCACCTACGACAGCCTTCTGTTTCATGGATGGCACGGGCTCCGGAATATCCCAGATATCCAAAGAATCTGGGAGAGGAATGTCAATCTGCAGGAAGACAAGGAAGACAAAACATAAGGGCATTGTTAACTAGTCGAAGTATAAACAAAAAACACATTATAGGTGCCACAACAAGAGCCTATACTGGGTAGGTCCCAGGATAAGCTGAGATTCAATAGTAGCCTAACCATATGGTAAAGAAGCTACAAACAATAAAGAAATTACTCTGCAGATGGAAGGGAAAACTGTTGAGTAAGGGATCAGTTTGAAATACAGTACCAGCATCTTGCGAGAAGATACCAAAGCTAGAAGACAAGAAACCCAAGAAAACACTTGAAGGTTTTCTACCACTTTTTAAGAAAAACAATGAAACAGTTATGATACGTCCTATACAAAATCTCAATCTTTCTTCTCTTTTGCTTCTTGACCATGAGAGAATAAAGCTCCCCTCTTTACATTCACTCTATAACATAACCTAAATTACAACCTTAAAGCCTTCAAAAAATATGCTAAGTTACAAACTAAAATTAGACGCAAGAAAAGCACTTCACCGGATGGATCGCAGATTCCTCGCTAGAGATAAACAATTACAAGAAGTGAGCAGAGATGAATAAATACACAGATTATTCATACAAAGGAAATTGGGAAAAAGAGTAATCAACGATAAGCAATAACATTAAACAAGCAGCGAAACAGTACAAAGGTACAAAGAGGTACATATAAGTGACATAGTTAGTGATTGAGCAATAAACCGAGCTAAATCAAATCTCTAACTTAAGAAATACTTTGGACATGAAATACAATCTAGGAAAATAAGCATCAACCGTGTCGGATTAGATAACTACTGCTGTACCAGAGTCAGCACCTGAAGCCAAGAGCATCCCACAGTTAAACAGCCAGTAAGTAGAAAAAACAATTCAAAGGTTACTCTTCACTGACCTCAAGCTGGTTAAGCATGTCAACAGTGCTTTCCAAGTCTCCATTATTAGCTGCATACACATCCATAAGTGATTCTGTAGATACACCAGGAAATGTCATCTGTAGGAATTCCAACTCAAAGTCAGACTCTTCATCAATAATTTGTTTATCGGTTCTTCCATCATGAAGTTGCAATGATGAACCATAGAACCCATGCCCATAGTGGCTCTCTGTAGATGCTGAAGTAATTGGAGAAGCTTTCCCCTGCTGTCCATTCTCAGCAGCATAGCCAGGTCCATACCACACATTTCGATTGCCACTCTGTGAAGGTTTTGCAACTACCCCTGGAGACTGAGTATGTTCAACTACCTCCCTCCTAGAAAGAGGTACATATGAGGCTGCATACGGGTTCAAACTAGAAGTTCCTGGCTTCATTGCTTCAATTGAGAAAACAAAGCACTGAGAATCAAGAACAAACAACAAGAAAAAGAAATTAACTACCACCAGCAAATTTGGCAGGACTTCTGATAGGAAATGCGTAATTGCGGAAGTTCACAAGGTTCTGAATCTAAGAAAGTTGGAGGACAATTCAAGACAGACGAAATCATCTTTAACTTCGATTGTACCAATGCTTATCCACTATCCAGCTATAGCCAGGCTATTCTTTGACTGCTTCTTAAACCTACAGTATCCTTTAACAAGCAAATGACAGATTAAACTGATCGAAAAAGATAAGCAGAAAGTTCTCCAGAAGATTTTCAAAGTTCACAACAACTACACAACCAAACCAACCCACAATGGTCACCTAGCCTTAAGGCAATGGCAGGAATCTAGTTACACAAACACTTTTTATCCATCTTCATCAATCATTCAATCACCACAAGATGCTGAAATTAGAAAGATAGCTAAGAATTTCAATTGCAATCATACAATTCAACCCTAGCATGAAGAAAGCAGTCTCCATAACAAATTTCTTCAAAGCTTCAGAGAAACTTCACCTAAACAAAACGAATTAACTATAAACCACACACAACAATCATACACTGTAACTATAATAAAATAAAATAAAAATCATACACTGTACAAATAAACAAGCGAGAGATAATCTTTTACGAATCATTTTTCATAACTCGTAACCCTACTCCACACTACGTATTTCCACCGCGGGAAATTCGAAACAAGATCAGACTGGATTATGAGTCCAAACAACAGAGACCGATGAGCGGAGCCCGCCGTTCTAACAAAGTAAACCTCGCTCTATAACGTAACCAAGAACAACGCATCACAGCTTAGAACAACGACGGTTATTTGCTCGCAGATGTACCTCGACAGCGGAAGCACGGGAATGTGGAAAGATCTTCGCGAAATGATACTGGAATCGAAATTCTTCCCCTCACCGCCTAGAGTTGGTCGTTCAGATCAATTGAGCGCCGGTGAGAGCTTGGCTTTTGGCGCTGTTTGGCTTCGGCTTCTTCTCGAGACGAGCAGAGAGGAAACGAGTATTTAAGGAGAAAGAAACTATTGAGAGCGAAATTGAAAAGAACGAGAGCGTCCACGGCCGTTTACTAGCTCCCCTTTCGTGGGTCCGTTAGGTAACGACGGCTACGTGTAACCGGCTAACCGCCAGAAGACGGTTAGATGGAAATGATAAACAACGATATCTTAGGGTCTGAATTGGTAATCAAAACGAGTAGAAGGACTGAATGTGAATTATACGACGATGAGTATCGTCCTCCTATCCCAAAGGAAATCAAATTCGAGACAGTGGATGAGGTGAAGCACCGAAGTGAACATAGCTCGAGAAGCAACAGCAATGGCGCTTCTCTGCTCGCCTTCTCTGTTCGTTTCCCACCATGGGCGGCAGCCCCTTCTATACAGGTGATTCTTTTTTCTCTTTCGCTTCGTCGTCTGTTATTGAGATGGTTCTGTAATCGCTTTAATCGGGGTTCGATTTGGATTGGGTGGCAGTAACGAGAGCAGAATCTTGCTAAACCAGAGGAAATGCGAGTTAAAAGTGGACAAGATTTCCATGGTCTGTAGCTCTTGTGGCGCTTCTTCTTCTTCCTCCTCGCCGTCCTCTTCAAGACCCAGTTCGGGAAACGGGGTTTTGAGACGGGATTTGATGCTGTTTGGGCTCTGTTCTTCTCTGGCTTCTGTGGCGCCAATTTCAGGTAAGGCTCGAGTGATGATTAAGCTCTACGGTATTTCTTTTGTTATTGTGGTTATGATATCATGATTCACTGAATCGTCCTGCTCGAAATTTCTGACTCCTGAAGAGTGTCTGGCGGAAGATGATGTGAAAATGGGTTCAATGGTTGATGAGATTAATGCCTACAGTTACTTATATCCAATGGAATCGCCGTCCAAGAAGTTCACCTTCAAATGGTACGTGTTTTGATTGAATTGAACCTTCCCGGAAACTCTGGATTTCATTTTCTTGAATTTGGGATGTACATTATTGTGTTATTGAGATTACCTTTGGAGGATGATGAAAGTTGAAACCTTCTAATACTTGTCAAACTTTTGAAGGGTGGAATCAAGAAAGCCGGAGCGATACTCATCAGCTGCACCATTATCCCGTAAGTTCACTTCCCTTTGGTGTTCTTTGCAAAGTTCCGAGATTTGTTTTCTGGGGGAAAGGAAACTCCAAATGTACACTAATGTAAAGCCAAACTGAGGTTTTGTTGACTGTTTCTGACATTGATACCAGCTGATGCACGGCTTAGGATTGTTTCTGAGCGTGTTGATATCATTGACAACCTCGTGATTTCTGTTTCGGTAACGTACCACATTATTCATACTGATGTCCTTCCTTTAATAGAAGCTGCAATTGTTTTCTTTACTCGCCCTCTCTCCGAGGATTATGATTCCATCACTGGATTCAGATAGGCCCTCCGAATGTTGAGTTCATAAAATCCAAGGACAAGAGCAGCTGGAATGCCAAAGATGTGGCTGACTCGGTTTTGTCCGACAAGTCTGCACTGGTAAAGTCTGTCACTTCTCTTCTCCACTTCGTATAGTGGAATGAAGTGATATTGTGAAATTCTTCATTCACATCTCCAGCAACTCGGAAACTCTCCAATCTAGCCGCTATGTGAAAATGCTATGAATTCTGAAGAGTACTGTACTTGTTAGTCTTGCAATGTGGCTTGGATAATTTGTTAATCAGTTGATTTTGGTGCTGCTGTTTTTTGGCAGCGTGTCACATCGAGTCAGCGACTGGCTGAGAGCTCTCTTCTTGATGCACATACAACTGAAGTGAGCTCCAAAACAATCATTCTTATAATTACTATAAGCACTGATGAATCTGCCATCTCCTAAACATAACAACCATCTATCACTTATTACAGATTGATGGACAGCCTTACTGGGTCTATGAGTATCTAGTCCGCAAGTCGCCTACCAAAAATGTAAGCACCGTATTAAGTCTTTTCCTTTGAACGAAGCACAGATACCACTCTTACTTTAATGATTCAAATGCTTGTCAAATGGAAAATGTTGCAGGTTCAGGAACCAAGTCTCTACAGGCACTATGTTGCCTCAACGTTCGAAAGAGACGGTTATTTGTACTCGCTGAGTGCTTCGACTCTCAACAAACAGTGGGACAAGGTCTGTATCTCGAAACATATATTGCGCCGTGCCTCTCCTCTCATCTCCTTATTATACATTTGTTGTTGTTTCCTTCTTCTTGGTTGATTAATGGGTTAGACCAACGCTACTGCAGATGGGACCTTTCCTTGAGAGAGCTGTATCATCATTTCGCCTTCTTCCTCCCACAGATGAATATGTACCCCCATTCAAAGACCCTTGGAGATTTTGGTGAAGAGTTCTTTCATTTCCCATTTTCTTACCACGATTAGTTGAAAGCTGAGTTTCCTTTGTTACCTCTGGTTGTCTGGCTCCATATGTATGCATGAGAATATATATTTGAAGCGCCACAATTGCCCAAACTGAATCGTACCGAAATAAGGATTCATATTTCAGTCCGGTACCCAGGTTATTTTTGGAATCCCACCCGAACCGAGCCAGAAACCAGAAATCTGAAAGTTTAGATCTTGGGCAGCTGCGAGACTTGAGGGATTGGAGGTAAAGAAAACTCAATGGTGATTGCAAACTAAGGCTAGTGATTATAGACCAGCTCACACATTTCCATAAGCTAAAGAATAAATGGAGTATATGTACATCTTTTCTAACCTCATGTCGTGGCTACTATCGAACAACGGCTATTTACTATGCTCCAGAGAACCCTTCAGACTTCAATTGCTCCAATCAAGAAAACTGTGAAAGTATGGCGAAGTGAAGGTGTGTGTCTAGTCCTGTGAGGTCGTGGAATACTCGGAAAGGAGGCATTTCGAAGGAGCAAACTGTAGGAGAACACACAATCGACTTATGAGTTGGTAGATGAGAGTCCATTGCATGGCCACTAAAAAATTATGTATGCAATTCTGATGAATTGATAATAAGGCGCAGGGTACCAAGTCGGCAAACCGACAAGGTACCGGCTTAATGAGACTTCAAAAACTAAGCATAGAGATTAAACCGCTAGGGTGTCAACCCAATGAGATGGAGGTGACAAGGCGGTTTAGCTACTGTGTATGGAGATCAAGCCAACAAGATAGGCTTGGTAGCAAGGCAACGGGGCACCAAGCTAGCAAGTCAATGAGGTATAAGATAATAGGGCCTTACAACAGGCATAAAGCCGGAAGGTTTCAAGCGCATGAAGTATGGGTTTAATTGTAATGAGGCATGGTATCAAGTCAGCAAGGCGACAAGGTACCAACTAGAGAATCATCTGAAAACTAAGTCTGGAGATCAGACAAAATGAGTTTGATGATAAGTCGATAGGGTACAAAGCGACAAGACAACAAGATTTCAAGTTAATCACACGAGCTTGGTGGCTAGCTCATTGAGTAGGGAGTTATGCAACAATCCCTAACTTCTCAAAAGTAAGTATGGAGATCAAATAGACGAGACAAATTTGGTACAAGGTGGCAAGTTGACAGGGCATCAAGTCAGAAGGTATCAAGTTGGTAAGAGGGACTTAGAGATATTCTTGGTGGCAAACTGATGGGTACCAAGTCGATGGAATTGACTTATTAACAAGCTAGTGAGACCGCCATAGCGAGCTCACAAAGACTAAGTGTGGAGTTTTGATGGGTAAAGCGCCATGTATTTAGAAGTGAAGGAGTTAAGTTATCATCTCGCTGATGAAGCGTGCTAGGTAACAAGATTGCCCAAGACGATAACAAATGAGCTAAGTGTGAATTCATTGGGGTTGTCAAGAGTGTGTTCAAAACTTTGTCATTAGAGGTAAGGCAAAAAGCTTCCACCCCCATCTAGTCAGGACATGACAACAGTCAACACCAACCCGACCATACGTCGAGTCTATCAAACATCAACTAGTCATCAGGATGGGGTGAGGGACCCTCAAGATGGAGTAAACACCAAGATAACGGTTACCAACTAGTCATCAAGTCGGCGATGAGAACCCCGAGGCGGTTGGAGCAACTGCCAACTGCACGGTTACTAAAGACAATTACACTTCTTTTTAGGGAAACCTATATTAATTTATTGATCAAGTAGAATCAGAGTTCGTAAACAAATCCTCTCTAAGAAGAGGTACAATGAAAATAGGTGGGTTATCAACCCAAATGTCTTTCTCACCCCAATTGCCTTCAACCTGGGCCATAGCATGGGCCACTTGATTCTTTCCTCTGCCCGTAAAATTCCTAATTACTTTCACCAAATCTTGGGCCTGAGCCCGTAATGTAGCACATAGGCAGCCCAGCTCCGTTCGTCCCTCTTCTTCCCTGCGTATCGTATGAATCACCCCCAAACAGTCTGACTCCATTTCCACTTCCAACCAACTAAACCTCCTCGCCAATTCTAATCCATACTCAATCGCCTTCGCCTCCGCCAGATCTGGCTCCCAGTGGATCCGCGACCGTTTCACCCCTGCAAGCAGGCATCGCCCTTCTTCATCGCGAACCACTACACCCCAGCCCGTTCCTCTACCTTCAAAACATGCCGCGTCGACATTTATCTTCACCGGAGTAAGATCCGCTGGTCTCCATCTTCGATCTGTTTCCCCTACCACATTCTGAGGGCGAATTTGCTTCTCTAGGTAATCGTTTAGCCATTCAGCTGCTCTGGGCATGATTTTCCACTCCTCTAACTTCTTCTTGTTCCAAAGTTGGCAGTTTCGCTGATCCTAGATAAACCACAATGCAATGAGGAAAGCTCCTAATGTCTCCTCCGATTCAACTTCCTGGAGTTCGCAGAACCATTCTTCCGAGGTAAGATTCTCTCCTTTCTCGAACAAACTCCTCAATTGACTGCTTCGCCGCCATCAACCCCCTCCAAACCCAACTAGGGTTTCGTGCCACCTCAGCCTCCAATGGTTCTCTATTTTGAAAGTATTTGGCTTTAAACACTCTCGCAGCCAGAGTATTTGGGTTCCGAGCAATTACACTTGATGACTATAATTTCATAGTGTAGCTTTTAGTTTTGGAGCTCTCACTGAATCTCAATAGAATTAAAGTAATTTAACTTAGTTTTCTTAGCTATAAAAAACATCAAACACCCCTCGTTCGAACTTTGTAAACTGTGTAATTTTCGTTGTTTTAGAAGTCAAAGGTGCAAATAATTTAAATTCAAACATAAGTTTTCTCGTTAGGAAACTGTGTGCGTATGATAAATGTGGTAGAACTTTCAACATGTGTATATGATAGACTTAGTCGCAAGCAAATGTTAATCAATTAGAAATTGAATGTCTAACTTAGAAGCATGTATCGTTCAAATCAAAGACTAAAACAATCATTAATTGAATATCGACTACTTAGTTGAGCGAAAAACAATTTAGTTATAATATCATCAATATATGTTGAGAGACCACAAATATATTTTTGAAAATGAATTACGAAAATATAAATTAGTTAAATGAAGTAAAATGGCTTAGACCACACATTGAATTCGAACTTTGGAGCTAACAAACAACAACCAAAAAAACTTAAACATAATATGAGTTACCTAATGATAAATCGTGAAACGAACCAATAAATCGGGCACAAAGCTAATTTAATGTAAATCTTTTTATTTTCCACTTCAAATCCACATGAGCTAAGTGGTCAGTTGGAGAAAAGGATTTCGGTCATGAATTCACTGAATCGATAAATTTTATAGAAAGTTCTATTTTGTTGATTTTTGTATTGTGGATTTTTAGCCCTAGAGATTTTAAATCTATAAAATGGACGAATATCAAATCTCTCATGATCGTAGAAATTTTATATCTTGATCATGAGATATTTTCTCTTTTTTATTTCTTATTTAATTCTACTAAATATTTGTTTCAATATTTCTCCAACCATTCAAATCTTTTTATATTAATAATAAACATGTCATTTAATATGAAATTATAAAACCTATTTTCATTAAATATTAACAATCACATTTATCAAAAATTAAATATTTTAAAATATTTTTACAACAATTCAAAGAATTAAAATCTTTAAATTACTTTTATAGATTTAAAAATCTTGTTCTACAAACTATCCCTAAATACAAGAAAACAACGGTAAGCAAAAGAGAAAAGCTGTGAGCATGGTTATCAAACCGGTTTCATGCCGGCCGGTTCAACCGGCTTCAACCGCTACCGGTCAGCAAACCGGCTGGAAAGGGGCCGGTATTTAATTGTGGTCAAATTCGGTTAATGCCGGTCAAATCCGGAAATTCCGGCCGGTTAGACCAGAAACTGGAATTTAATGTTACCCATATTATATCTAAAAATAAACATCTTCCATAGGATTTGAACCATGAACCTCTTGTTCATTTTAGTTTAACTTATAAACCAGTAGGCTACAAGCAATTTTGTTGTCTATATTAACCTTATTTGTTATATATCTAATACTAAATTTTACACAAATCATTATAAACATTAATAAAATTTATTTAATAAAATTTTATTTTTAAGAATCTAATTGTTTAGATTAGTTACCAATTCTTAGCTATAAATTATTTTGTGTGAAATAATTTCATCTAATTGCTTTTTTATGACTAATTTATTTGGAATTGAGGATTTCCATTTTCCTCATGTATTTTATTAAAACCGGCACAACCGACATGAATACTGGTTGTACCACGGTCAGACCATTCCACTTACAAAACCGGCACACCGAACGACCTTGGCTGTGAGATAAAACACTGATGAAAACAAACTGTAATGGTGCTTTTCGTAATTCCCCAAAGTTTTGGGGTGTTTTGGGTCAATTACAATTTAAACATAAACGGAAATATGAAATTCCACTTTTGAAAATTTCTCTCGGCTGGAAGTGGAAAACTAACTTCCTTTATGTAATTTAGCGTGCTTAACTACCATACATATCTGACATCACCCCCGAATCTGAGACCGTCCACGTGTCAAACCTGCCGAACTGGACCGTTAATCTTCACATCGTGAACTCCGAAATTGTCTATCTCTAACTTTCCATCGTACGGCCTAGATCAATCCTACAGAAACCCTCCCGCAAGTTTTAGATCAGACGGCAGCATCTCCGCCACGTGTCGGAAGGAGGCGACGCATATAGTTTTCATGGAATTTTTTGAGAGTACATCCAACTTCTGCATATAATAATTTTCCCTTTTTCTTCTATTGTTTTTTTCATTTTATTTTAACTTTTCTTTTTGGCGATCTAAAGACTAAACCCCTTTTCCCCCTTCTCCCTGCAACCGTAAGGAAACCCTAGCTCTTCCACTCCCCTTCTCTCACGCCCAAAACAGGGCAAATTAAATTTTCAAAATCAATCAAGAAATTGACTATAAAAATCGCCAGTGCGGTAGTTCGACGATTCAAAATTTCCAGATTCGGAAGGTTGGTGTGCAATCACGTGCGTGATCTTGGCGGTTTGCAGACTATAATCGAATTCTTGTTGCTGCTTGGATCCCGGTAAGTGGTGGTGCGATTCCCGTTCTAATTGTTTCATGGGTACGCAGAACGATTTCTGTTGTGTAAGTGGCCGACTGTGATCGTTCAATTGAGTGCATATTTTTCTCCCTTTGTTTGGGCATGGGTGGTTCAGAGTTTTAGGTGGAATATTCACGGCGAATTTTTTTTTTGTTTGGTTTCATTTTCGGGTGTTTTGCAGATCTGAGAATGTGCTATGGAATTTAAGAAATTTTCGGTTGCCATCTTTGGTGATTGGATTGCGGTTTAGTGGATGGAACATAGGGCAGGAGATTGCAATGGAGAGGAAATTCCCAAGAAAACGAGATCTCTTGATCTTAAGAGTCTTTATGAAACAGAGGGTTCAAAAGAGGCCCCAGGTAAGAATTTGAAGCGGAAAGGTGGTGTGGAAGATGATGATGGCGATGTGAAAAGAAATAGCAAGAGGAAGAAGAGTAGGAAGGCAGTGTCTATTAATAGATTAAAGACTGTTACTGGCAATGGCAGCAAGAGTTTAGAAGAAGTCTACAATGGCAGCTTGACTTCAGTTTCATTCGATTCGACTTCGAGGGACTCGAAGTTGTGTTTGAGTCAGAAGTCGAATGACAGTGTTGGGCTCAATGGGGTTTCACTAGCTTTGGAAGATGATGTTGTTAAAGTTCCGAGGCGGAAGCGAGGTATTGTTAGGCGACGGAAAGTTGAGAATGGCGGTGCAGTGTTAAAGCTCGAAGATAAGAACGAAAAACTGGGTGATGTTGAGGTTGGTAAGGGGACACCTGATCAGGATAATGTGAATCCTGTAGATAATGGCAAACATTTTGAATCTTCTAAGCTTAAAAGGAAGAAAAGACCAGAGGATTTCAAGGAAAATAGAACCAGTGAATCCAATTCAGTTAGAGATGTGAAGGAAGAGGATGGTCAAGACGAACTCTCAATTGTAAAAAATGGCGAGTCTTCCGCCAAGATTACCCTTGCTGGTCATTCAGCTGAAAATGCTCAGGATCACCCTTCAAATGGGTCTCTTAGGAAGCGGAGCAGAAAAAGGAAGAACAAAGTGTCAGATGTAAGAAGTCCATCAAAGGAGGCTGAGCCTTCAGGCGAAAGATCTGTCAAGATTGTTGACAAGGTTGGACGTGAGGATGAAGAAGAGAATCTAGAAGAGAATGCTGCAAGAATGCTGTCTTCGCGGTTTGATCCTAGCTTTACTGGGTACTTGTCGAAGAAGAAACTCTCATCGTTACCACCTACCAATAGCTTGAACCATCAATTGTCTTCTGGCAAAAAATTTGTGCCTCGAGGAGATAGTTATGCTTCTGGTTCAGATTCTGCTTCCGGCGATGGTGCGGTTAGAGTTTTGCGACCGAGAAAGCTGTTCAAAGAGAAGGGTAGTGTTAGGAAGAGACGTCATTTTTATGAAATTTTTTCTGGTGAACTGGATGCACACTGGGTGTTAAATAAGAGAATCAAAGTATTTTGGCCTTTGGACGAAAGTTGGTATTATGGCCTTGTTAGTGAGTATGACAAAGAGAGAAAACTTCATCATGTCAAGTATGATGACCGTGATGAAGAGTGGATCAATCTTCAGAATGAGAGGTTTAAGCTCTTACTGTTCCCTTATGAAGCACCAGGTAGAAACCACCGAAGAAGATCTGTGTCAAGGAGGAAACGCTCCATTGTAAGTGAAAGTAAATTGAACCACAGCAAAGATAGCAAGAAAAAAATGACTGTAGAAGTTGATAGCTTGGTTGGCAATCATATGGATTCAGAGCCCATCATCTCGTGGCTGGCTCGATCATCTAGAAGAGTGAAATCTCCTCCAGTTTGTGTTCCAGAGAAGGAGAACGAGTCCTGTGAACACCCTGGTTGTGGGTTATCTTTGACTAGGAATACTATGGATGGTTGTGACTGCAAGGATGGAAGGTCTCTGAATGTTGGAACTGCCAGAACTACCTCTAGTTCTACTCTTCCAGATGAACCAACCACATCTAGAGGTGTGTTCCATGCCACAGTGAGTCCTTTGTCTAACGACGACAAAAAGCTTCCAGTTGTCTACTACAGGAGGCGGTATCGTAAGAAAAAAGTATTGTTATGTCATGATTCTAAAGTCAATCGTATGAGTATTGGTGCTCCGGGTCCTGATACTTGTGGTACTTCATTATATTCCGAAGTGGCATTTGACAAGTTGCTGCCTGTGGATTCGCTGTGGTCAATTGGTAGCACTGGAATTTTGAAATTGAATTTCTCAATGATACTGTCAAGAAATTTCACATTTAAGTTGAGTTGCCCAGTGCCGTCTTTCCAGAGTTGCTCTTTCAGTAAGTTGAGCATCTATTTGTGCCATGCTATATTGGTACTTAAGTTTGGGAAACTGATGACTATATTGCCAAGGGTTCAGCTGGAGATGCTTATTGTGGATAATTTAGTGGGATTGAGGTTTCTACTATTTGAAGGATGCTTGAAGCAAGCTGTGGCATTTGTTTTTGTGGTCCTGGACATATTTGGTCAACCTGATGAACCTGGGAAGTCTATCCACTTAGAGTTGCCAGTGACTTCAATAAGATTCAAGTTCTCTTGTGCTAATTTTGTTGGGAAGCAGCTTGCTTTCCTGTTCCATAAATTCTCCGAACTTGAAAATTCAAGGTGGATTCACCTGAACCGTAAAATAAACAAGTACTGCATACTTACCCAGCAACTACCTTTATCCCAATGTACTGACAATAACATTAAGGATCTGCAAAATGGTACAAATAGGCTGCTTGCTTCTGCTTTGATTGGCACCGGAATGGTTAAGGTATGTATGTGGTCTCTTTTCCTGTTATTGCACCGGTGTCTCAATTGTGGTCTCTATTCTACCTTCTTTCAGATTTGTGTTCCTTTTCACTAAGTAATAAATTGGGAGTTACAGTTTCATTGTCATATATTGCAGAACAAGTTTGTCTAAGTTCTCATGCTGTTTTATTTGTATTGACAGGGATTCAGCAGGAGGTCCAGTCAGCGCATTAGTTTCATGAATGTTTCTGGAGAGCCTATACGGGGCAAAACTATTCACTCTTTTGACCCTGATAGGAATCAAAGGTCTCCAATGTCTCTCTCTTTTACTGCTGCACCTACCTATTTTCTAGATCTTCATCGCAGATTGCTTATCGAGCACACTCTGACGCACATCAGTTTTCAAGATCATGGCTCGGGGGGAGATCCTCAAACCAGTGGGAGGTTGCTAGTGGAGGACCAGTCTTGTGTGGTAAAGTGCCCAAGTACAACTCCTAAAAGCAATTCTCGCAACATACTCAAGGCCGTGTCAAGGGACAAGGGTTCTGATAAAGTCTCTATAGCTCATTTGAGGGACAAGGTGAATTCCTCTTTGGATCCCAAATGCAGTACCACAGTTCGTACATCCTCTGATATTGAGAAGCCTGTGAATATGAGTAATGATGGCAGTTATGAGTTGCCACTTCAGCCTTTGGATTCTGTGCAGCACAAAATATTGTGCCGGACATCTGCTGGAGATGAAGCCAAGTTCCATACGGAATTCCCTTCCCCTTCTCTTCGTAATGGAATCACAGTTGAAATTCCTTCTGATAAAATTGATAAACATGTTGATGGGGACTCACATGTGCAACAATCTTGTGGTGATTTGTCATGGAATTTGAACAGTGGTATTATTCCCAGCCCAAATCCTACTGCACGTAGAAGTACATGGCATCGAAATAGAAGCAGTTCAGCTTCGTTTGGAGGCTTTGCGCATGGATGGTCAGAAGGAAAGGCCGATTTTCTGCAGGGTAACTTTGGTAATGGACCAAAGAAGCCACGCACACAGGTGAATTATGCTATGCCTTTTGGGGGGTTTGATCTTAGCTCCAGAGGTAAAGGTCATCAGCACAAAATGCATCCACATAAGCGGTTTAGGACTTCAAATGAGAGGAGGTCTTCTGATGCTTCTAGGGTCCCCGAAAAGAACCTAGATTCTTTGTCTTGCAATGTAAACCTTTTGCTAACTGTTAGTGATAAAGGTTGGAGAGAGTCTGGGGTACAGGTTGTGCTGGAACTTTTTGATCACAGTGAGTGGAGGCTTGCTGTGAAGCTTTCTGGCACCACGAAGTACTCATACAAGCCACATCAATTCCTGCAGCCTGGGTCAACAAACCGGTTTACACATGCTATGATGTGGAAAGGAGGAAAAGAATGGATATTGGAGTTTCCTGACAGGAGCCAGTGGGCTCTTTTCAAAGAGATGCATGAGGAGGGTTATGATCGGAATGTACGGGTTGCATTAGTAAAAAATATTCCAATTCCCGGTGTTCGATTGATAGAGGAAAATGAGGGTTATGTATCAGAAGCACCATTTCTGAGAACGTCTAAGTACTTTTGTCAGGAGGAAACAGACGTTCAGATGGCTTTGAACCCATCCAGAGTGCTGTATGAAATTGATAGTGATGATGAGCATTGGATTTCAGAAAATGATAGTGTCCTAAAAGTTCAAAGTGGCAGTACCTTGGAGATTTCTGAAGATATTTTTGAGAAAATCATGGATACGTGTGAGAAAGCTACCTATTCTCGGCAATGTGACCGTTTAACTGCTGAAGAAGTAAATGATCTCATGGTTGGTATAGTGTCTCTGGAAGTAATCAAGATGGTTTTTCAGTACTGGCACCAGAAGAGAAGTAGGAAGGGAATGCCACTGATCCGACACCTTCAGGTAATGCTGAACCTTTTCTCCTTGCTTCATCCCGTAAGATATCAATGATATTGTTAGTTGGTGCATCATTATATAGGTTGAACACTGTTTTGCATGTCTTTTGTTTTTTGTTTAAAGGCCATGACTAGGAAACTGTTGAGTTGGGTTTGATGTGCCTAGGGCTGCTGTTGAAATTAGGTGAATGATGTGGGCAAAAAAAAAAAAAATAAAAAAAATCAAAGCACTGGTTCAGCTGGGAATTAATGGTCCAGTTGCCTGTATGAGGCTAGTGGGCTGTCAGTACATCCCTGAGGTCAATATTAGTTTCCTCAGCTGAACCTACTAGTGTTTTGAATTTGCTTTACATGATTCATCAGGTTCTCTCTAATGAATGAGCAACTTGTCCTTGCATCTACAGTGCATCGTTTGGTTTTTGTTGTACATTTCATTTTCTATTCCCTTAATGTTGGTCTCAGTTTATCTTCTTGTGGTTGCCTTGGTATGCTTCTTGAACAAACCCACTACTCATTTCAAATATAATACCACTAATACATATTCTCTGGCTTTCTATTTGATATATCATTCTTCTTGTTTGTCATGAAGTGGTCTTTTTTAGTCGAACCAAATTCTGTTGGTGAGCAGCTGCTTTCATCTGCTCTCTTCTTATGAACATGGTATAGTGTCTATGTTTATATTTTGTTGCACTACTGCTACGGTTGTTCTTAATGGAACTTAAGGACCACCTCCTTTTTATAGTTTTCCTGTGATATTTTCTAAGAACATGCAACTTTGTGCAGATTCACGTTTCTTTATCTAAGACTTAGATATACAACATAAATGGCATTGTTGCCTAACATAAATGGAAAATGTTGGGTTTTGTTCAGCCACCGCGTTGGGAAAGATATCAACAAGAAGTGAGAGAGTGGGAGCAAGCGAAGGCCAAAAGTGTCCCTTTAAATGGTTGCTCTAAGAAGGTTGCTCAAAACGAGAAGCCACCAATGTTTGCATTCTGCCTGAAACCACGTGGTCTGGATTTACGTAACCGAGGGTCAAAGCATAGGTCACATAAGAAACTCTCAGTTTCTGGGCAAAGCAATACCTTCTCTGTTTATCACGACGGTTTTCATGCTTACGGTAAGCACTTCACTTGTTTATTATTCTGCTGTATATTTAGAGGTGACAAAAGGGGTTGGTTCGTGTTTTGTTGGGATCAAGGACATTCACTTGTATATTTGACGTGGTTTGGAAGGTATTTCCGTTTTTAGCTAAAGTCTAAGGGCTTCTTCTGAGTGAAGTTTTAGTATTTTTTGAGTAGGAAATTGTAAAATGGTAGAGCTGGATTAGTTTGTTAATGGCACAAGGATTGGTACCATACGTAAATTAACATTTATCTGGTCTGAATTGGGACAGCAAAAGCTGGATTTAATTCATGACCGGATTGTAAAACTCTTCATGTTTAGGTACTTCATTGTATTTCTCAAAATACTTGGACACTTTCTTAATATAAGACGACTAAAATTCTAGGTACTTAGTAATTTTGCAGGAAATTTACCTACCAACCTCCTAATGAACTTGTCAATGTGTTTGGGTTGGATGGGTTTGAACTGGGTTGCGTTGAAATTTTGCTACCCCTGTATCTAAGCGTTTGTCCTAATCTGTAAAAATGATTTTATGTAGCAGGTAGACGAATGAATGGCTTTGCATCTGGCGACGAGAGGGTTTTACATTTGGGACAGAATTATGACTTCATGGACGATTCTCCATTGCCACAGAGATCTCCGAGATTTTTCTCACCAAGGGAAGCAGATGCAGGCAGCTTGGGTTACTTTTACCCCAATCCTCATAGATGTCACCACTTGCATAAGAAATTTCAGAGGAGCAAATCGAAAAAAGTGGCGGGGACTTCAACTCTTTCCCCCATGGGACGTCCGATGATCCCTTCATTCAATCAGCGCATGTTTGTGAAAAGGAACAATGGCTTACATCAGTGGCCAAACCAGCGACAACCTGACCGCCACCTAGATTGGTCTCTTCAGCATGATCCTTACCAGTTGGAAGGCTCGGATCTCGAAGAATCACAGACTCGTGATGCATCCGGTGCAGCTCAGCATGCTCTCAAGGTGGCTAAGTTCAAGAGAGAGAAAGCTCAGAGACTACTTTGTAGGGCTGATTTAGCTATCCACAAGGCTGTTGTTGCCTTGATGACAGCTGAAGCTATTAAGGCAGCTTCCTCAGAGGATGCGAACGATGATGACATGTGATGATATGCGAGGTTTGGAATTCTTTCTTCAAGAACTTTGGCAGCTAGAGGGTTGTCTGTAGACTCGGCATTCAGTTTGCCCCCTAGTGAAATAGCGGGGCAATGGTGGTGGTGATGGTCTTGCACCGAGGTACACATCGCTTGGCTACTCTCTTGGTGGTTTCGTGACCCTGGTTCGATGTCGCACTGATGATCCATCCTGGAGGTGACTGGTGAGAGAGAGGTGTTGCTGGAATTTTGGGCCTGCCAAATCTTTTTTTGTACAGATTTTTTCCCACTCTTCTTTCTCGTTTTTTTTTTTTTTTTTTTTTTTTTTGCTTTCTCCAGGGTTTTCACTGTTTCTTCTTTCTTCCCCTTCTTTAGCCTTGATGCCTGGGATAGGAGCTCTAGCCGAAATAATACACCACCCCTTAGTTTGATAACAAAGAAAGAGAGGAGGTATAAAGCAAAAGGTTTGAGAAAGAGTTGCCTGTTAGATGGATTGAAATGCTGCTGCAGGTTTCAGGGAGCATTTTGCTCGTTAAAAAAGAAAAAAGAAATTAATTTTTAGGGTTAGGGATATGTACCAATGATGAAGAACAAGGTCTCTGGGAATAGTGCAGGAAAAAGGGGGAACAAGTTGTGTAAGTAAATTATCTTTTTTTTTGTTTGTTTGTTTCTGATTTTTCAGAGGTGGAATTGGTGGCAAATGAAAGGAGATCATGTTGCTGATGTCTGATGTCCCTAGCTTACTGTTAGTTTCATTTATGTTGTACTGCTGCTTTGAATCAGTCTGTTATGCCGCAGCTGGAGCAGACTTGCTGCTTTAGTCGTTGCTGAGCGCCCCCACTTCACTTTCGAGCTTTTGATGTTGCAGCACTTGTAATGGAGTTGAGGTAGGATCTATGATGGTGAATGTGGTTTGCAGTACGAGGAATGGAACTGATGGTAAATGAGTTAAATTTCTTTAGTGAAATTTATAGAGAGGGTTATGAATGACAGTAACAAGTCAAGATGTAGTATCACATTTTTGTCAAGTTGATTGGATCATGTCCAGTAACTTAATTAGTGATAATGGTAGAGTATGATTCTGATGAGTAGCAGCAGCTTCTCCCACTCCCATGATCCCAAGACGGCTACTGTAGTCTGTAAGTGAGAAACAATATATGAAGACCTCAGATTAGGGCTGCTAAGAAGCCGAGTTATTTGTGAGCGGCTCGGTTTCGAACTTGATAAAAGTTCGTTCGGTTAAAAAAAAAAATGCTCGGCTCGTTAATAATTGAGCCGAGCTTGAGCTCTATCTTGTTTGGCTCGTGAAGCTCGTGAACTAGCTCTATTAGGTTGGCTCGTTTAATATAATTCATGAACTATCTCGTTTTGAGCTTATGAGATGTCCAACATTGTGACTAGAGAGCCAACTTGACTACGACTTATGAGAAAATCAATATATATTTTATGAGTTGGTTTGTTAATGATGCATGTAATTATTCAATTGTATATCTCACCTCATATGGTGTTTAATACGTTGAGTATATGTAAGCAAATACGCAGTGGCGGACCCAAAAAATTTATTAAGGGTATTCAATAAAAAAATCTAAGTAAAATAAATAATATTAATTATTAATTCAACAAGTTTATTTCATAAAGTACATCAATTTGTTTTTTCTTTACCGTGAATCGCGACGTATTTTTGTATTTTACAAATTTTATATAATATATTAAAACAATGGCAAGACATAAAAATGTAAGCGCTTTAAGTTTTAAAGCGCGATTTTGATTATATTAGGTCCCGTTTAGCATCATTTTGTTGCTGTTGTGATTGCATTGGTGTTGTGCAAACAAGTGTACAACAACAACAGAAAAAAAAAAAAACAAACAACACAAACCTGTTTAGTTGATAAATCTGACAACTCATAAAAGTTGACAACAAAACACAGAAACACGTTTAGTTACTTCTATAAAAACTAAAAACTAGAAAATGGTTATTTTCAATATCAAACAAAGTCCCACAAAAGCCAACTTAGATCAATTTCAAACCACCGTTTCACTTCACCCTACTGCAACCTCCCCATTTTCTGATTTTAATTGTCGGTGCAGTGCAAAACCCTAGCCACCATTGTAAAACACAAGAATTGACATCCCTCCACCACCACCATCGCAAAGGAAAGGGGATCAGTGTTCCCTCATAGTGCGTGAAACTTGGCAGGGCATTTAATAAGGTTCTGGAGCGAAAACTTGGAATTCAGTGAAAAGAATTGTCAGTATATCTGCAGATTTTTGAACAAATTGGTATAAGTTATAACTGATAACGACACAAGCAAAGACACAATATAAAGGCTTTATATCAAAGACGATAAGGGTTGGCCGGAGTCAAAGAGAAGGACGGGTTGGTCGGGGTCTGTTGGACTCGAGGATTGGTAAGCGATACCAGCAAATAACGGCGACGATGCTGGACCGCGGGATAGTTGGACGCAACGAGGGGTCGATGGCGGGAGAGTTGGACGGTGACGAGAGCTGGAGAGGCAGTAGGCCGAATCGTGCTCGTCCGCGAAGGAGATAAGGAGAGAAGGAGGAGGGGTTGTGGATCAACGGTGGACGTGACCAGGATGGACAGAAACAGGGCGGAGATTGGGGTCCAAACAAATGGATACGAAAAAATGATAAGAAATGAGCTACGGGGATTCGAATTAAGGGTGCTTTTAATGAAATCACACAGGAAACCCGTGTCCAACAGATTAATAAAATAAATCCAAACTAATAAATTGTTGTTTCTCTTTTTTGGGCTTGGTTGTGTGAATCTATTTCACAACAAAAATGAAAAACTCAACTAAACATTTTTTATTTCTTGGTTTCTACAATTTTTAAGAACACAACAAGAAACAAAAATAAGCAACAATAGTAAACGGAGCCTTAGTAAATAAAAAGCGCGACACTAAAGCATTTTGGTACCCATAAGTGTAAATGCGTAAAATTTTGAATTTTAAAGTACGATTTTGACAACATTGGTTATCACAATAAATTGGGGAATTGTAATTGAGAATGACAATTTCAAATTTGAGTCAAAGGTGACGCTCCTGGGCGGAGAGTTTTATTCTCTTTTGTAGTTGGAAGAGTTTTTATTCTCTAAAGAGGAAAAAAATTAATAAAAAATTAAAGAGATTTGCTTCGGCAAATAGGTTTAGGAATTAATTTGACTCCTCATATATTTTCTCTGTATTTATATAACAACAATTGGCTGGAGGTGCAACGGAAATTCGAATTTGAAAGTCCAAGGGTTGTCAAGTTGGTTAGAGTTCAAATTCTATCACCAACAAATACATATTTTAACATACTAAATTTGGTCCATTTTATTACTTAAGGTTTGTCAATTGACAACCCTTAGCAAGGAATGGATCCGCCCCTGCAAATACGTCTCGTCTCATATATGACATAATATTAGGTAATCACATATATCACATATGGCATATAAATATTAGAGTATTTCTATTATAAATTATCTTAGAGTTGAGCTCGAACTGAACTTTCGATATTAATGATGTGTCAAGATTTAATAAACGAGCTGACTCGTGTTCGACTCGGCTCGACTCGTTTATAAACGAGCCGAACATGAACAAAGCAAAACTCGGCTCGGCTCATTAACAGCCCTACCTCAGATAAGGCCCGTTCTATATAGAAGTTCTCAAACTTTCAAATGTAAGGAGAAATAATCCGGATACTGTTTGAGCTTTCGATTTGGGGATGAATACCACTGAAAAATAGATAGGTATAAGATTGATTTTATTAGACAGAATTAAGCAAATTCCTATATCAAAGTGTTCAAAACTAGAGTGTAATCTGTGAAACACCCTAGTCCGGCCGGACACTACTTTTATCAAAATACTCTTGATAAATCGTGAATCAAAATTTGAAAAAAAAATTTGGAAAGTAAAAAAAAAAAAGGAAACCTTTCATAAATAACTTTAATCACATTAAAATTTAAGCTGACATCTCTTAAAACGAAGCTCTAACACTTGGGCAAACCTCAAACATAAAACTCTTAATCTGAATCTCCAGTAACTACTCATAATCGTAAAGCAATAACTACAACTCTACTTTGTTGTTTGCTCGGATTCAATCTCTGGCACCTTCAGTGACACTTGTACTATCCTCCTCTAGATGGCTTGCCTCGGCGACTCTCTCGATCTCCCTGCTCTCTAACTGCTCCCCTAGCTAGCTGCTATCGATCTGGTTCTCGTTCATTCCTTAGCTAAGGCCTTGTGAGTGAGATGGGGTCAGTCTACGCCCTTAAGTTTAAAATTTCTTATACTTGAGTACTTTGCTTAAACACTTGACTTTAACTGGTGGAAGTTGTTTATACTTCCAATCTTAAAATCTTAACTCTTAAAATTGTTTGGGAGTTACTGTTACTCTCCATTCTTAAAGCTCAAATCTCGACTTAAATACTTGACTGACACAAGGATCCCTCACTAGCTAGTCCGTTTGCCAACTCATACGTATGAGAAGCCATCCAAGCTTTCCTTAAACTTAAACTTATCGTGGAAGGCTCTTCTTCCACGATTCTCAAGAGCATAACTGCTGCTAAACTTAAATATCTCAAGAGCATAACTGCTGCTCTATCTGAAAATTTCAAATGGCAACGGACTGACGCTAGTTACTAAAAATATTTAAAACGACTTCACCTAGTGTAACATCCCGTTACGGCAAAACCCATATTTCGATCGCTAGAAAATTTCACGATTTAAAATCGAGCATTTCGACACTATTTTGACGAAAATCGGATTATCGATCGATCGGATAAGTATACGTATTAATTATATATATAATATATTTTATATATATATATATATATATATATATATATATATATATATAGTAAGTAGTCGGAGAGGCAGAGCCATTATTTCTTCTTCTTCTTTCATTCGGTTGAGAGAAAGCCGAGAAGCAGAGCTCGCACAGAGCTCATATGAAAAAATTTCAAAGCTCCAAATCTTGAGTTCTACTGATCCAAAAATCCCGTAAGTAATGCCTAATTCATCTATACATCGTGATTTATCGATTTAGAGCTTTAAAACGAGTTTTTGGTTCAGGAATTTCTTGAATTCCCGATCTGCCAAATTAGGGTTTCGGAGTATCCGGAAGCCGGATTGAGCCCAAATTTCATATACGAGCTTCCTGCAGCGAGGTAATCAATCCTCTAATTCTAATCCCTGAATTTCGGCTATTATTTAGGCCGGGGTCCAAACCGCTGAATTTAGCTCCGGCCAGGGTTTGATGTGTTTTTATCGAGAATTTGACCCGGAGCCTAGAACTAATATTGACGGGGATTCTGCAGGGGATATTAGGACGGTCTCGGATTTTAATTCGGGGTTCGTTCCTGAAATTGACGTTTTAGTACGGGAAGGTTAAACCGGTGTTTGAACGACCAGAACTGGTGAGGGATTAGCACGGCATACCGGGTTTGTCGTATCACGATAATTATGTTGATGCTTAGAATTGACCTAGGTGAACTAGAATGGCATGATTAGGGGTGTATGGACTTTTGTGTTATATGATGAACCCTGGACTGTTGTATGATATTATTGATTTGCCCTAGCCGATATGGACCTTGTTTATGTTGATGATTGCATACATGTTGCCATTTGTGGCTTAACCGTTGATATGAATTCATGGTTGTTCGATCAGGTGTTTTGATATGATGTGATATTGTGGTTGTATTTGGATTCACAAGTGGGGGAAATAAACTTCCCAGGGTGATATTATGATGTTTTAAGCAGGATGACTTGCACGAGGGTTTATCCCGAGGAAGTGCAATTATGCGACTCCTGATTTACCTATGTTGAGCCAATTGTGGCCTGGTCAAGTACATGTGCAAGTAATGAATTATGATTAAGCAAGATAAGATATGAATCATGTATAAGGATACTAAATATGAGTGTTGTGGTCTCACGGTCAATTACGTAGTAATTAGGGCTCCCTATGCTATTACTCTATTATGATATGTATGATAGTCACACCTCTCATGTGGTGGTGACTGAAGAATTCTTATGAGATATGACCACACCCAGAGCGGTGTCGGGGTATGACTACACCCATAGTGGTGTGGGGTATGTATGACCACATCCGACGGGATGTTGGGGTATGTATGACTACATCCGACGGGATGTGGGGTATGTTTCCCGGGAGAGTTATTAGCATGGGAGTAGCCTGGCGCCTATGAATAAAACATGATAAGATGCATATGCATAAGTCAAAGTGGTTGAGTCTTTTGCATATTGGGATATGAGGATGGCTGAGGTCCGATCCTAGTGTTTTGGCTTGTCTGCTAGATGTATAGTAGGGGTATGCTCTGTTATGAACTCACTATGCGATGATTATCTCACTCAGCTATGAGCTGACCCTCTTTTATTCTTCTTCTCTGCTTATGCTATGTGTAAGCAGATCATCAACAGCAGCAGTAGATAAGTGTTAGGTGGGAGAGGAGCTAGAGTTGAAGCCAGGATGAGGTATGGTCTTCAACTATTTGGTGCTTGGACTACTACTTGGGATTTTGGCCAGTGATCCACACCCTTTTTGTAAAAATGTTTTGAGAACATTTTCATGTGCATACTAGCTTCGAATGTAGTGTGAGATATCCACAGGTGTGGAAAGTTAATGATATGTGTATATGTTGTGTAACTGTGTAAGTTGTGACGATTATGGTATGTATAAGTATGGTATGCAGTTAGGAAGTATGAAAACTGTGACTATGGCTATGAAAAGCCAATGCATATGGTTGTGAGTATATATGTTTGTGATGAATTATTTTGCAGGTTTTAGTTGCAAGAACTGTTAGCCCATTACGCGAGTAATTCATGTCGAAATTTTATTTGGGTAAATTTTGATAATTAATGTAACGCCCGAGATTAATTCCGCTGCAATTGTATGAACAATATGATTAGGCAAAACGTGTAGGGTAGGGTGTTACAGTTTGGTATCAGAGCCCGGTTCCCTCTTTTTGCTGTTATGGCGTACTATACCCTATCGGAGGTTAAACACTCCTAAGGAGGGGAGTGCCCCATAATGACTTAAACTGGGAATTGAGTTTGACATGATTATGTGTATTGGTATGTTGGATGAAATTATCTGCATCATGGTTTTCAAAATTGAGTTTTGAACTTCTATGTTTTCAAGTAATTATTTTGGAAAATTTTTGTTTTAACCAAGTGAGAAATTTGGTGAGGAATGAATTTTGTGTGGATCAATCTAAGGCCAATATTTCCTTGTAGCTCGCACGGAAGTTGTGAAAATGTTCCTACTGACCAGTCGCGAGGAGTGGGGGCGGTTGATGCAAGACCGCCAGTATTAGATTATGCAAAGATGAAGAGTTTGGGTGGTAGGGACTTTAAGGGAGATGTGAGCCCAGATGCTGTAGTAGAGTGGTTGAGAGAGATGGAAGATGTGTTTGAATATCTTTATGCAACCCCAGAGGAAAAAGTGCAATATGTTGTTTTTCTCCTAAAGGGGTATGCGAGGAGCTGGTGGTTCTCAGTCTCTAGAGTTAATGGTGAACGAGTTCAGTTCACCTGGGAGGAGTTTCTGAAGGCCTTTAAGACAGAGTTTCTTCCCGAAGCTTTTATCAGGGCAAAGAACAATGAATTTTCCAACCTTAAGCAGGAGAATATGACAGTTACTGAGTACACCAT